ACAATAAATACACCGTCCTGCAAATAACTTTTAATTAATTACGGAAAATTAATTATGCACTTAGCACAGTGTGACTTACGATAGCGACAAATCAGTGTAAGAAGTTTAAAATAAATCGAAAAGATACGTTATCATAACTCTTTCAGTTCTTCTTAACAAATTTTAATTTTTAGATAGAAAGAAAATATTTCCAATCAAAACAAATTTCCCAATGGCTTTAATAAGTTAGTGTTTTATTTTTAAATTATATAAATTATTGTATTTCTTATGCGCTAAAATCTTTTAATCTTTTTTCAAAGATTTCGTCACTGTATTTAACAATTCATAAAGAATGTACGAAAGAGAAAATGAATTAATGAAAATATGACTTATATATGCTGTCAATAAGTTTTCTAAGATTTAAAAGTTAGCAAATGGATTAAAATTTCCTATTAATCAAAAGCTTATTTCTATTACCAATGTATTCCTTTCATTGTTTTGAATGTTGAAAAAGTTATGCTAAAAGAGATTTAAACAATATTATCCCTCCCTTCTCTTCCAATAACAATTGTGTTCAGTAATTAGCAAAAATTAATCATTAGCTGCAATATTACTAAAAACATTAAATTTTCATGAATAAAAAGAAAATTGAAAAGATTATTTATTATTCAAATATGTTATTTAGCATTTGTGAATGTTTTAGATGAAGAAGAAGCAAAACAGGAAGATTTGGAATATCGTATAATGAATTTAGATTTTGATGCTAAAAAATTTACCGGATTGGAAGATTTACAAATTACCGGTAGATTACAAGAAGTTGGCCGAATTGTTGGTAAACATTTGGATAATGAACGTTTGATGCAATATATAACACGATTCCGGAAACAGCAGGTTTACCGTACCTCTTCTAAATCAATTCATTCATTTCAAATTTTCCATTATTAAAGATTTAAAATTATTTCAAATAAGTGAAACTTTTCTTGTTTAAAGAAATTAAACTTCAAATTTAATTTTCGGCAAATTCAATATTATAATTTCAAAAATTAATTTTAAGAGAATTAGATTAAAAAGGTATTTAATTATAATTAAAGATATAAAAGAAATTAAAGCTAAAACTATTTAATTTTGTTAATTAATTATATTTGCTTATTCTTACAGAATCGTTTAAATGCAGCAATGATAGCAATCGAAAGAAATCAATTGAAAAAATTACGAAATTTGGTTGATAGCGATTTAGTGGAAGCGAGAAATGCCACAGTTACCTTCGTTTACTTTCTCTTACCTTAACTTTTAACTTTCAGAAGGCATTTTCATAACGAATAAATGTAAACGAATAAATCGTTCTTTACTTTGAAATATTTTATTCTACGATTTTCATTCTTTTCAAAAATTAATTTTATTTTTTGATAAAATTTTTTGTTCATTCATTTTTACTGTTATAAAATGGAATGATTTAATTTCAGTTTTTTCAGGTTTAAATTTAATTCACGTTGCTGTATGTAATGAACGTCATGAAATTGTTGAATATCTTGCAAGCGTTTTTCCAAAAAGTATCGATATTTTAGACGTGGTACCATTCAATTCACCCTAATTAATACCATTTAATTATAATTTTTATTATTTCTAAATATTTGAATTAAGAATTTTTTTAGAACGGCCGAGCAGCAATACATTATGCAGCAACTCAAAAAAATGCAATTTATGATACATTGATTGATTGTGGAGCAGATAGTTCACTTGCTGATAAAGTATGCTTAATTATGCTAATATTTATTTGGTATCTTAAAATCACGTGAAATACGCTGCGTTTACATGCAATATGCAATTTGTAAATTTTGATTGCTTGCAAAATACGTAGCGAAATATTTCACTGATTGCTAATAAAATCAAGCAAATGAATTAAGAGTAGATATGATGAAATAGGATAAATGATGAAGAAAGATAAATCAATGAAATAATACTTTCAACTTAAACCATTGATAATAAAATGATGCATTGATTAAAGTAATCATCACATTACACCTTTTTTCATTTAGTATTTAAATATCTAACATTTAAGTATTTTAAATTTGCATTCCAAATTACAGGTAAGATAATTATCAAAAGAAACAAAAGAAAAACGATACTTATTTTAAATGATAATAATTTTTGGCTAAATTTTTGATAAGAATATAAGAACTATAATTGCGTGTTAAGTTTTAAATATTAAACATTTTCAAATTTGTTTTTGTTTATTTGAAATAATTTTTTTTTTTGCTTAATTAAAATGATAACAATTTTAATCATCAAACAATACCTAATTACTATTTATGTTTTTAAAAAATATTTAGCAAAAAGGATGAAAAGACTTTTTTTTAAACAATTTCTATTATTATATACAATAAATGAAATTTAATTTTTAACTGATAAAATTTTTGATAAAATTTTTAGATTGGTATAACAGCCGCACAATATCGTGATAATATTGATATTACAATACCATCACCATTGATAACATCAAAAACTTCTGATATGGTTTTTAAACGTTATTCGCTTACTGAAAATCTATACGATTCAGGTAACGAAATCAATCGAATTAATTGCTTTATTTTAATTAATTACTTAATTCCATTTAAATTTTTTAATAACTTTAAGTAAAAGTGTATATTTTTAATCAATCATTATGATAATGAAAAAAAAAAAATATGCAAAGAATAAAGCAAAAAATTTTAAGAAAATATATTATTTAACTCATTTTGTTAATTATAATATATTTAAATGACTTTTGTTTAATTAAGTAATTAATTTTTTATTCGATTAATTAATATAACAATTCATTTTAAATTTATTACATCCAAAAATATTCGATACTCAAAAATATTTGTTTTGCTAAATAAATGTTAGTTGGAAATAACAAAAAAAATAAAATTATTATTGTTTATATAATTAGATTTTATTGATAAGTTAAATTAAACATTTTATCATACGTTTATTCATAATTTAAAATTTAAAATTTTATAATAATAATACCAAACATTGATATACAAATTGATCAAATAATATTTTAAAATATATTTTATAATTTTCAATGAATATTTATTTTCGATGCTCCAACTGAGGATGAAGTGAATCAATGGCTTGAAAATGGTAATATCAAACAATTAGAGAAAATTTTTCTTGATGGCCGTGGTTATCTTTTGGCTGATAAAACTTCAAATGATGTGATAACAAATCAATTCCTTAATGGATTATCCAAATGCCAAGTAATTATTGATTGATAATTTTTTCATAAATTGACATCGTTTTATTATTATAAATACATATTATATATATATATATATTTCTATCTTAAATGATACTGTAGTTTATTTAATTTTTACTAATTGTTTGTAATTAAAAAATTTTTTTAGGATCAAATTGATATAATACATAAAGCAGTAGAAGAAGGTAATATTGATAAACTGATAGCATTAAGTGATACTGAAAAGCTTTCTATTGCACGTGACAGATATGGTTAATGCTTTCTTTCTTCATTTTTTTGGTAATCAAACAAATACTTAACTTCTTGTATTCAATTATTATATATTAAGTAATAAATACCTGTATTCATTACCTGTTTAAATATTTAATTGATAAAATATTTGTAACATTTACAAATGATTTATACATAAATCTTAAAGTTATTCTAATAATTTGTTATTTGAATAATTCAGAAGTGATAGAGAAATTAACATTCAAAATGTGATAAAATAATTAAAATAGCTGATTACTTTTTCATTTTTCAAAAAACAAAAGCTTTTCTAAAATTTGATAATTTTAAGGTATGACACCATTACACATAGCTGTATTACATGGACAAACAAATATTGTTCGTTATTTATTATCAAAATATCCATCTTGTGTTAATGCTATCAACCATGTATTGTCTTTAATTTCATTAATTTAATTATGAATTAAATTTTGATAAAAAAATTTATTATAATTTTCTTTTTTATTATATTTTGTGATATCAAAATATTTGCTATTAAATTATAGTTTTCTCGAAAATAATAATTTTTAAGTTTTTTAATTTTAAAAGATTTTAAATAATGTAAAGGAATTTTAAGATTGGTCGAACAGCGTTACATTATGCTTTTGGTAATCGAGCCTGTCAAATAATGGTTAAATTACTACAAAAAGCTGGTGCTGATGATTTTATTGAAGATAAGGTCTTCGATTTAATTTAATTTAACTTCAATTGATTTAATTTAATCTATTCTTTATTCATGAAATCTTCAAGATTTCATCCTATGTTATTTAATAATTTTATTTCATTTAATAAAATTTTATAATAATCTTTGTAATTATTTCTAAGTTTATAAAGTTATAATTCAAACTTCAAAGCTTAAAGTAATATCTGTCATTAATTATTGGATCTGATAGTAATAAATTAAATCAAATTTGAAGAAATAATAATAAGTTTATAATTACAGTTTGGTCATACACCGTTGTATTATCGAAACAATATGGAACAATTAGATGATAAAATGATGATTAAAGATAACGATCAGATGGATGAACTTATTACAGGTCAAATGAGTGAATCACTTTTGCAAGGTTAATAATTAATACTTTGAATATCATTTAACAAGCAAAATATATGATTTGCAATTTTCAATTATTTTTATTATTTTTTTATATTAATTGTTGTTCCATATTATTGAAATGATTTGCTTTGTAAAATAGATTTGGAAGAAAATATTTCGAATTGGATTCATAATGGTAATTTGAGAAAGTTAGATAGTTTGGTGCTAAATGGTTATGCTGATTTGTTATCCGGTCGAACACATGAAATTGATGATCCGGATATTCGTCATTTCTTGGATGCATTACCAGAGTATCAGGTTAATTCTTCAGAAAATTTAATATATTTGAATTAATCATTTATTAATTCAATGCAAACAAAAGAAGATATTTCAAAGAAAAATATTTCAAATAGAAAATATTTTCAGAAAATAAAAATAAAAGAAATTTTGATTAAATTAAAAAGAATAATTTATAAAGAAATTATATTAAAAAGGAATGAAATGAATGAATAAAAAAATATTGAAAGATTTACCTTAGAAATAATATTATTATATTTATTACTAATTTAGAATAAAATCAATGCAATTCATAAAGCTGTCGAAATGGATAATTTGCAAGCAATTAAAATGTTAGTCGATCGAAAAAAGATGGCATTTTGCCGCGATCCGCGACATTTAACGCCATTACATAAAGCGATCATTTTGGGTCAAATTGAAATTGCTAAATTTTTGATAAAAAATTATCCGCAAGCAACAAATGCAATGGATGAGGTATTATTTAATTTATATTTATTTATATACAAATTATTTCGATAATTTCTTTTCCAATTTTTTATTTTAAATTATATAAATGAATGAATGAAAATAAATAAATGAGAATTTGGTTAATTCAATTCATTATTTCAATTATAATTATGCATTATTATGAAAGTGATATAATTTCATTTTTTTACTATTTGTAACGAAAAAATTCTTTTCTTCATCGCTTTATCGATCAATTTATCATATTATTTTGTACATTGCAATTATACTTAATTACTGAATATCATATTGCATTGTTTACAGTTTAATTAAATTTTAATTGTTATTTATATTATATATTCTCTTTTTTATTAGAATAAAAGAACACCACTTCATTATGCGGCAGCTTTATCTGATGATGGTTGCATGTACAAAAGGATGCGTAATGTTGGGGCTAATTCAAAGATTTCTGATTGTGTAAGTTTAAAATTTTGAAATTTAAAATGAAATTCATCAAACCAAATTTATTCTTCTTTTTCTAATATTATAAAATTTAATTAATAAATTAACTGAACAGTTTAATTTAATATTAATTTTTCATTGATATGATGGCAGTTTCATTAATAATTAGCATTATAAATAAATTTTATTCTTATTTCGATTGAAAATTTAAATTCACTCATTTTTGCTTATATTTTAAATTTTAAATTTTATGCTTACTGACAAATTCATTTGACAATAAGGGGAAGAAATTATTTTCAGAATGGTCGAAAACCAAACTATTATTTGAGAAATCCTCAACAAATTGACTTTAAAACAATTAACACAGACAAAGGAATTATTTTGGATGAGGTAATTAATTTATTCAATTTCAGTTAAAATTTAAAAAAAATATAACTTAATTTTCTGTTTCGTTACAAATTAACAAAGTATAAAAATATATTTATTTTAAAGAAGATGGAAGAGAAATTTAGGCATTTTTTGTGCTGTGGTAAGTTTTTCATTTCCTCCATAATTTATTAAATAATGCCTGCAATTAATTGAGGCCTGTCTTAAATTTAAAAAAAGATTAAGTATAGGCCTTAATTAATCACAGTATGATTTAATATGTTCTTTTTTTTAAAAAAAATTACTCTTTGTATTTTATTTCTAATTATTTTTTTTTTTTGCTTAAAAAATTATTAATTAAGGAGAAAAAATTTTTGTTTTGTTTTATTCTTTGTTATAGATTATTCGTAATCATATAACATCATCTTATTTGGAATCAAATATTCATCAATGGCTTGATGATGGTAATATTGGTAAATTAGAGCAATTAGTACTTTCTGGATGTGGTGACTTACTTTTTCGTCATACAACAAATAATATAAAGTCAAAAAATTTTCTCGCATATCTCAATACTTATTTGGTAATAATTACTTTGTTAATAATTTATTATTGTTAATTTAAATATTATCATTACTATTTCATCTATTCTATTTTAAGTAATAAATTTTTAAATTAATCATATCCATTTATATATGTATATACTTCCTCATCCCTTTTCGTCTTCAACTGTCAGAAATTTTAACCCTGAAGAAATAAAAGCTATTATATTATAATTACTTATATTACAATTAAATTTTAAATTAATATTTATTTAAATATTATCATTACTATTTCATTTTAAAATAATATTAATTAATTCTAAACTCTTTTTAAAATAGTATAAATATTATTTTAAGTAATAAATTCCCATATAATTATATGCTATTTTTCATTTCTTTCCTTCCCTCTCTTTTACCGGAAAGTTTGACCTTGAAGAAATAAAAGTTATTATAATGTCTGTCATATTGTTCCTTTTCTTCCGTTTCAGATTTCAGTACAATCAATAGTTGGTACTATTTAATAAGAATTGCTTCATTTTTTACTTCTTCCTCTTTCTTTCTAAACGTTATTTTTTTCGTTATTAAAGTGTGCCAGGTATGTCAATTACAAGGTCAAATACTTTCCTTTCTTCCTTTCCGGTTTTCTTTTTCTTTTTTTAAAAAAATAGGAAAAAACATTTTCTTCTTAAAAGAACAAAATAGTTCATTTATTTCTCTCTCTCTCTCTCTCTCTCTCTCTCTCTAATCTATTCTAACAATTTAATGATAAAAAAAATGTTCGAAAAAATTTTGAAATTCATTTTTATTTCACAACATTATTGTAGTAATAATAGCAATAAGAATAACAATAATTATAATACTATTATATATAATTATTAGTTAATTAATTGATTTTGTAATTAAAAACTTTTATCTTAATAATGCAAATTCGAAATATCTGCTGAAATTTTCCAATTCATATAAAATTCTGTTATCAATTAATGTTAATTTCGAAGTGATAAATTATCGTTTCTTTATATTATATAAAATTATTAAAAAATCATACTCAATTGAATGAAATCATTTATATAGCTTTTATTTCTCAATTAGAATGATATATTAAACTGTACTGATAATGCCTGTAATTATTTTGTTATTAATTTAGATGAAATTTATCAGAAGAGACTAAAATCGTAAAATTTTAAAAAATGAAAAGATTTAAAAAGATAGAAGCTTTCATTGTTTCATTGTTTTATGATAAATTTTTGTTGCATAAGAAAAAAGCATCCATTTGTTAATTTATTATGATAATTAACTAATCAATAAATTGTATTGATAAGAAATGGCAAATCCAACTTAATGTCATTTTATAGAGTAGAAAAACTTTTTAGAATAAAATTGATGAAATTCATACAGCAATCAAGAAAAATGACCTGGAACATGTGAAGGAATTAATTAGTTCAAAAAATTTGGCATTAGCACGAAATCGACTTGGACATACACCACTTCATACTGCAATCATTTATGAACAAACTGAAATAATCCGTCACATTGTATCGAACTTTCCATTTGTATTAAATGCTTCTGATTATGTGAGTTATTAATTTTTATTCAATTTAATTAAAATATTTCATTAAAAATTTTTTTTTGGATTTAACCATTAATATTTTATAGTAATTTTTACTATAATTGTTGACAGCTGTTAAATGAAAATACATTTTAGTATATAAATTTGATGTAAATTTATATGATATTGAAGTACATTTCATAGAATAAGATAATTTTTGTTAAGCAAAAACATATGAAATCAATTAATTAAATGTTAAAATAATGATTAGATAATTTTTTAAGCTAAAATATTTGAAATCTAATTAATGAAAATCTTTTAGAATAAGCGTACACCGTTGCATTATGCAGCAGCAACGCATGATGGTGGACATTATATGAAAATTTTAGTTAAAGCTGGAGCTGATTCAAATGCTTTGGATAATGTTGTTATTTCAATTCATTTTTCTTTTCTAAAATATTATTTGAGAAAATTAAAAATAAGCAAACAGAAAGTTGTCAAAATTAAAACAAAATAATAGTATATTATTAATAATAATAATAACAATAACGATTATAATAACGATAATAATAACGATTAATAATAATAATAATAAACAGTAATAGCAATAATAATATCAGCAATTAATTTGGAATTATTAGTGAGAAAGATTAATGATGACGATAGCAATTTTCCCGAAATTTAAAAAGAAAAAATAGTAAAAGTGAAATTTCTTTTGTTAAATTAAATTTGATTCTTTGTTTTTTTTTAAATTTCAGGAAGGTCATACGCCACATTATTACGTTCTTAACAATGTGATTGATTTGGAATCATTGAGAGAGAATGATGATAATGATAGCAATATTATCAACTCAGAAATTTTCGATACCGAGCAATTTATGCCGTGTATTGATTCGCCGTCATTAAGTAGTAGTGATTCAGCATCTGTCATGAGGTTTACTTATTTTGTTTTTCTTTCCTTTCTTAAAATATTGCTAGTTAAAAGTTATTAATAAGCAAATATTTCGAATCAAACTTTATGATCCAAATCACTTAGTCATAACCGTTAACGTTTAATAATTAATTTCTAATTATTTTTCAATTATTATTAGTAATTCTTTCAGTTCGTTAATTATGTATAAGTAATTATGAGAGTAAAATTTAAGTGATCTTATAGATCTTACTATCTTTATAAGTATTATTTAAATACTATAATTTGATATGATTTATTCCTATAAGTTGCTAAAAAAATTATCATTTATTTGAATTATCATTTACTAAAATATCTAATAGAATAAAAGATATATTATTTTAAGTTTCAGTTCATCAAATATATTAGTGAGTATGACAGAAGAGGATGAAACAGATGGGTATAAATTTGAAGATGATGATATATTGGATGGTAACATACCACCAGCTTTACCAACAAATAGCAGTAATGGTATTTATTTGGCAAGAACAGTTGCACCGATTTTAACTAAAGCACTTACTGAGGTTTTTTTGTTTTAATTGTAATTATATTTCTTTTAATGAAAATTTTCTCTCAAAAATTATATGAAAATCTTTGGGTTTTTTTAATTTCAAAAAAGACGGAATTTTTGTTTTTTGATATTAAAATAAAATAATTTTGCAATAAAATGTAAAATAATTTTTGAAAGGTATTGTTACAACGACCAATTGATCCAATTATTTTCATCGCTAATTGGCTTACTCAATATCGTCACAATAATCCATTATTATAACTATAACACATAGTAAGCGATAATCATACAGTAATCATTTACTCTTTTAATAAATTCTAATATAGTGATAATTGAAAAGTTTTAAATTAATTTTATAAAAGAAAGAAAAGTAAGTTTTTGGTAATTAATAGAAATTTGAAATTTTTTTCGTTTGTTTAAAATTTTCGAGAAAGTTTGCTGAACATGTCAATTACAATTTAATTTTTTAAAAAGTTGCAAAAAACAATGAATTTTAATGAAAAAATTATTAATTAATGATTTAGAAAATGAATCTTACCTTAATAAAATTTATATTTATACTTAGCATAAAAGTTAACTTAAACAAAGTTATTTCAAACGAATAATAACTCATATTTGACAAAGTTGTCCCAAACAAACTGAACAAATTTTTATGCAAAAAAAATATACAAAAATTTACCATTAAAGAAAAGAAAACAAAATCATTTAAGTATCACTCAGTAAATATCACTTCTGTTTCCCCAATAGTTTTAATTATCATAAAATTATTTGATAATTATCAAAGAAAAAAATTTGTACAAAAAAAATTTAGTGAAATGAAATGATATTATCTAAGGAAACTTCCAGATGTACTGGTTGGAAATGATGTCGATGATGATCGATGATTGCTTGATCGATGATATTTGGATAATGCACCGGCAGATATTAATTTGATTAATTGTGGACTAAAAGGATGATTAAGTTGCAAATGTTGTATGTACTGATCAAATACCGGAGCCGTAAACCCACATTCTTCACATACGAATACCTAAAATATTATTCATAGTTGATTATTATAATCTATTAAATACTTATCATATTAATACAAATTAACAAGTTTAAATATATTTTAATATATAAAATTCTTATTGTTATAGCAACGACAAACAGTACAATAAGCAATATATTCACAGTTAATGTAATAAATTACAATAACTCCAACATATAATTTTTTATTAACTAAAAATAGTATGCAAATAAGGAAGTAATATTCGTCTGATTTTATACCATCCCACTACATTACATTAATCATCTTTCTATCAATGCTAACTTATCCTTTCTATTTGTTTCAAATTAATTAATTAGATATTATTACCTTACTTCGTCGTTCTTTGTAACCGTAATTATGTTGTGTACCATGTACCTTGCGAAGATGTGATTCCAATGAACAACGTTGTGTAAATGATTTTTCACATTGATCACACTTATATGGTCGAACACCTATGTTAATCTAATTCTTTAACTTATTAATTATCACTCATTCTAATCAATAATTTCTTATAATATATTCATTTTATTTAAAAATTATCATTTTAAAAGCATTTGAAAAATTTTATTCACTTCTACTACAGCTAATTTATATGTCATTTATTATTAAAGAATATGAAAATTTTCGCATTTCGAATTAATTAAACATTTGAATAAAGTTTATAATGAATAAGTTGGAATTGGATAGAACCTGTATGAGTTCGTGTATGTCTTTTCAAATCAAATGTATCATTGAAACCTTTACCACAAAATGTGCATAAGTATCGCTTTATTTCTGAATGGCATTTTGCATGCCTATTTAAAAGCCTTTGTAATGCAAATTTCTGCAAACAACAAAAATATTTCTTATTGAATGAATAGAACAAAGTTAATAAAATAATTTGTCAGTAAAAATATTGTCGAACTTTGCAAAAATGAAATAAATTATATTATATTTTGAAACAAAAGAAGAAGAAAAAAGACAGTAAGAATGAATGTAAAATAAACAATTAATAAAAAAGTAAATAAAATGATTTAATTAAGAATAAAATAAACCTTGCCACATATTCGGCATGTTAATAAACCAGGTTCAGAAGCTGGATCAGGAGTAGTGTCAATATCAGGTATAGGATAACTTTGTAACATGGGATTCTTTACACCATATCCACCATTTATCCATTCTACTGTTGTCACGCCTAACTAAAAGAAAAAAATTTTTAGAAAAATATTTCATATTGTAGGAATGATGAAGATGTATAGTGTAATAATTGCAGATACTGCAGCAGATGTGATACTGTGATACGATACTGTAATACTGTGTAATATTTTGTTGAGAATTGAAAATGGGAAATTTTTTTTCTACTTTAGATACTTCCCATATTTTTAGGAGAAAGATTGGGAATATTAACTTTGTTAATATAAAACTGTTTGCTTAGTCAATTTTAAATTTTTAACAATTACTTGTAAATTTGAAAATTTTATATTATATGTAAAGATTAGTATCACTTCTAGGTTTTATTTCTTGATTACAAAAAGGCGTTTAAAATGGTTCTCATTTTTAAAAGGAATAAATTTTCTACCGTAAATTTGCACTAATAAAATGATTCAAAATGAATAAAATAATAATAGGAAATGATAGATATTTATGAATAAGTATTATGAATTACACATAGAGCTAGGTATTGAGTAATATTTTGCAAATAATAGGATGAGTGAAATTGATGACCTCAATTTTTCGTCTCCACTTGTTAATATATCCATAATAGACTGTATAGTAAACAAATAAATTTATTAAATTTGGAATTATTTAAAAGTGACACTTGAAATCAAATTTTAACTGAAATTAAATTTTTAGAAGTAGAGGAAGAGAGAAGGATATATTTATCAGAAAAAAATTTGAAAGAGAAGAAAGATGAAATAAATACAGTATGTAAAACATTGTAAAAGTTAGAGTTGTTAAAAGTGATAATGCAATTTTATGTTATCATATTGTCAAAAGTATCAAAATTAGTAGAAAATTAATTTAATGAAGTAAAATAAAATTTGGAATGGCTGAAATGATGTATTTACAAAATAAAGGCCATTCTTAGTTAAAGGTTATAAAATTTATAAAAACTGAAATGGATGAAACTTAATAACAATAATATGTAATTGTAATGATATATAGCATTCTATCAAATGGCTATTATTTTAGTTTAAAATAAGACTTAAACAAATTTGGCTAAAATGAACAAAATCAAATTTAAAAAAAAATACCGGTGATGGTGTATTTTGCTTCTTCTCAACAGCTGATGGGAGTAAACTTTCGACGAGGAATAATTTCGACGAACGTTGTTTTGGTACAGCTTCCGAAGTTTTTAATTGTTGAACTGATTCCGAAATTTTCAATTGCTGAGGTAACGACGATGATGATGATGATGAGGATGACGATGGTGATGGTGGAACGGCTGATTTCAATACCGTAGGAAATATTGCCGGAAAACCATGAGCTATAAAAATTATTACAGTAGCAGCAATAATAGAAATTTCAAAACAATACTATTTAAAAAAGAAAAAAATTGACATTTTACAATTTTACTTTGATATTGCTTACAGTTTCGAAATATATTGTGATGGTAAAAGCTGAATTTCATATTTGAAATTTAGAATTTGAAATTTTATCTGAAAAAATTACACTGAAAAAACTATTTACTAATTCGAAGGATGAGACAATCTTGCATTAGAAGTTTTGCTTTATTCTTTAATTGCATGCTCATAAATTACAGTAAGATATAGTAGCAAATATTAGCTTACTAAAACTATTCATAAATTGTTTAACATGTGTGTTAGAAATCCATGAAAAATAAAAAATAAATGATTGAAGCGTGAAGTAAATTTGCCGCAGTATTTTGCTCTGTCTTTTATCAACTTAGCAATATTTCAGTTCAATCTTCATCAGTTGGCAATATTTTATCTTAATCTTTATCTATTGACAATATTTCAACCATAATTTTTATCACTTGATAATATTTTATTTTATCTCTTTGTCACTTAATTATAATATTTCGTCTTATTGTGTCTTATTCTTCTGTCAATATTTAGCCTTATTGCTAGCAATATTACAATTATTTTACGAAATTAATTATGATAATTTTAGCAAAAGGTTCATCAATGGATTGAAAAATGATTCATTAATATGATTAAGTGATAAGACAAATCTTACCGATAAATAATGATGGAATTGGCGGATAATAAATAGTTGTATATGGTAGAGGAGATGGTAACCAAAAAGGCGAATTCATTACTGGAATACATGTAGCAATATCTTGCTGTTACAATTTGATTCACCAATTAAATATTTTTCTTTCAATACGATGATCTTGCAATTGTTCATTAAAATTGGTGCTTAATTTAATCAAATATTTAATCGATTATAATATTTGATTAACAATATATTGTTATTGACAAAGATCAGATTCAGAAAATAAATATGGCAAATTTAACATCTGAAAGAATTTATTATTATTATTATATTTATGCTATGAAATAATGGAATTAATCAATAATGAAAATAAAATAGTGATTATTGATTGATATTGGAAAGAATAAAATAAGCAATTATTGATTTGCTCGATAAATATTAGAAAATAATGATTTTTTTCCTCTCTAACATAAGAGTAAAAGTTTTATATTTGTCCAAAATTAGTTTTAACAAAAGTAAAAAACAATTTAATAAAACATTAGCCTTTTCTATTCTGATCTGTTGATTAGTTAAACTACCGGTCTTTATGAAACAGTAATAAATTGAAACGGCAACGAAGTGTATTTATTTGATAATAGCGCAAAGAAAGAGATAATAAAGAAGGAGGAAAATGAATCCGGTTTACCGGAGAACATGTTAGTATTGACATCGTTCTAATAACATAAATTAGTCCCACCTCCTATTGTATCATAAAATACCGTATTATAATGGGTGCAATTGTCTTATTAAACAGCCAATGATCATTCATTCACTATCCTTTTTTTTGTTTTTTTATCAAATTAGTGATGGCATTAGATAATATCAAAATAATGCATATTTCTTTTTTACATATAAGACATGTGAAAATAGTTTATAAAATGAGATGAAATAGACATTTTGATGAGAAAGTATGTAAAAATTAGAGAATTAAAAGAAAATATTTGTTTTTCTTAATAAAGGTAGAAAATAACAAAATTGAGGTTAGATTATAAGGAACGGTGATGATTATTCAATGAGAAATTCAAAAATTATTGGA